GCGAGGACCAGAGTGGGTCGCGCTCATGTGCTTGGTCAGTGCCCGGCCCTGGAGACTGACCCTGTACTGCCACCTCCAGGAGACCGGTTTGCAGAGGCTGGGGCGGGCGGACTCCAGCCTCATCCCCGGCTCTGCCCCGAGGGCCGCGATTCGCAGCCTGAACCGCCCCGACCACAGCCCCGCCTTCCACGCCCTTTAACCTCCCCGGGTCTGGCACCTGGCTCCCTGCTCCCAGCGGGGAGACCCCGGCTCCTCCCGGAGAAGCTCCCGGCCGTCTCTGCCCGCCTGGCCGCTTCCTCCGGACCCACCGGGGCCCCTGAGACGAGCACAGGATCCCAGCTGTGAGTAGCACGGAGCGTGAAGGACTATCCCCTCCCTCTTTATGGCCCTTATACTTCTATTAATGCGACCACTGACGAAACCCGCTTTGGGGGCATCTCTCCCAGCAGACTGTCAATGCAAAGCACCACGTGGTTTCCCCGCCGCACCCGCCCGCCCTCCGCGGCTGCACTCGACCGTCCGAGCTTCCGCGAGCGCACGGACGTTCGTTCTAGCAAATTCCAGCCTGGTCCCAGGCCTCTCGGGCCTCTCCACCCGTCTCGGGGTTCAGACCCCGAGATCCGCCGAGGGGACCCACCTGCCTCTGAGGGCTTCAGAGGCCGCCGGCTGCGGGGGACGGGCAGGACCTCCAGCCGCACTTTCTCCGACGCGCCGGCCAGGAGCCTGGTGGCCTCGAGCAGCGAGCAGTGCTCGGTGCTGGCGCCGTCGATGGACAAGACGCGGTCTCCCGCCTGCAGGGCCCCGCTCCTGGCCGGGCCGGGAGGCGAAGGGACGGGCTGGTCCGGGCCGACCGGGCTCGGGGCCGCCCCTCCCTCCCCGCACGCGCCCCGCGCCGCGCCTCACCTGTCCACCGCGCTGGCCGGCTTGATGCGCTCGATGGCGATGAGCGGCTTGTTCCGGTGGTGGGCGGTGGTCAGCGAGATCCCCAGCGCGGAGCCCGGCGTCCTCACGATTTCCACCACCAGGGGTCCCGAGGCGTTGGCCGCGGTGTCTGGCGAGACGGAGGGGAAAAAAAGAAGTTGGAAAAGATGCAAAATGTCGCCCCTCCCGGCCTCAATGCGCTTGCTGCCCGGGAGGGGTCGCTGCGCCCACTTCGCAGATGAGAACACTGAGGCACAGACAGGCAAAGGCCCGGCCGGGATCACTCGGCCCGCCTGGCAGCGGGGCGAGGGCAGGAGCTCAGGTCTGGGGAGCTCCGGTCCCCGGGTTGTGCTGGGCGATGCGGATGTGTCTGCATTTATTGGCAGCCTGCTGTATACCAGCACTAAACTACAGTGTTCGTTACGATCCGTCCCCATGAACCCGGCCAGGGGCTCGAAGTCAAAGCCTTGGCGTCACGCTCAGCCCCTTCTGCGTCTGTCCCCCGCGACCAGTGGCGGCGGGTCGGGCCAGCTCGACCCGAGAAACTGGGGTGGGGGCGATGGGAGGGTTCGTCTCTGGTGGGCGGCGGGAAGCTTCTTCGGAGTCACGCAGATGGGCTGGCCGGGCTCCTGCCTCAGGGCCTTTGCACTGACTGCTCACTGACTGCCTGGGACGCCCTTTCCCAGCGCCCACCCCGCACGCGCTCCCTCGCTGCCCCCGGCCCTTCCCGTCTGTCTCCTCCACGTTTTCTTTCCTTTTTCCACGGCACTTGCTGCCGTCTGGCACACGCCACAGCTCGTCCGTTCTGTGTCCCGTCCTCTCCCGCAAGAGCGTTGGCAAAACAGAGACCTCATCTCTGTCGCTCTCTGCTGGGTCCCCGGGCATCGAGCCATGAATACTATTTATTGCCCAGAGAGGTTAAGTGACTGGCCCAAGGACACACAGCCTTTGCCGGGATGAAGATCCGTGGCCACCGCCCGCCCCCCGGCTCCCCCGGCCCTGGGTCTTCTCCCGTCCGACCCTCACCCTCGGCTTCCCCCCAAGTCACCTGGGGTGGCCACGTCGTACTCCACCTGGAAGAGCGCCTCGTGGCCGCACTGCCGCAGGGTGGCCAGGGCGGTGGCGTGGCTGGCGCCGTGCAGGGGGATCCCGTCGACGCTGAGCAGCCTGTCGCCCGCCCTCAGGGAGCCCTGCCTGCAGGAAGGACCCGGTCAGCCAGCCTGGCCCGGCGCGGCTGCCGGCACGGCCCGGCTGGGGTGCTGGGCGGGGCGCGTGGAGGACGACAGGAGGGGCCGTGAGTGAGCAGGACTCGTGGACTCGGCCAGACGCCCCCGGATGTCTGAGTGCGGGGGGGGGTGCCCTCCGAGGCCCCCACCTTGCTCCTGCCCCAGGGACAGAGGAGAACAGGAGGGCCCAGAGAGGGCGCCGGCCCGGCCAGGGCCACACAGCATCAGGGCTGGGGCCTCTGAGCTCAGCGGGGAGCCTGGCCCGGGACCAGCTCAGCGGGGGCCTCGGCGGGGTTGGGGGGGCCTCGGCGGGGTTCACCTCGGTTTGGGTCAAATGCCCGCCCCGGAGCGCCTCCCCCGACAGGTGGCCAACGCTATTCCGGGAGGTTCCGGGAATAGCTGGTCACAGGGACAGATTTAGAATCCGACGGGGCCGTTCCAGGCTTCTCTTGAAACGGCCGCGAATCCCCCGCCGGGGAGGTCAGGGGTCGGGGGCTGGGACCGGACGTGTCCCTCCCCCGTGTTCTCTCCTCCGGGCGGGGACTCGGGAGTCACAGGCGGCTGCGGCGACGGCCAATCACGGTGGCCCCGAATCTCCCGCGCGCGGCAACACGTAGGGGCTGCGATGTGTGAGCCATTGCGCAGACGGGAAGATCAAGGGACCGGGGACGGGAAGAGGGACACCGAGGCCGGCTCTCCCCCGGGGACAGTCGGGTGTGGGGGCAGAAAGAGCTTGGGTCCCTCTCGCTCGGGGTTTCGCCCCGGCCCGGCCCAATCTGCAAGCGACCGGGCAAGGAGTGCGCCCTCTCTGGGCCTCAGTCTGACCATCTGGGGTATGGGCTCGCCGGGCCCTGCTCTGCCGTCTTCCCGGGGGCGCCGGGAGGTTTCCGAGGGCTCGGGCTCAGCCTCACCTGTCGGCAGGGCCGCCCGGGCGCACGTAGGTCAAGACGAGTGGGCGGGACTTGTGCTCGTCTTCATGGGCTCCTCCTGCGCAGGATCCAATCAGAGACGGGAATCCGTTACCCGCCCCCCGCCCCCCCAGAGGCCCCGACAGTCGCTCAACAAAACTGGAGCCTCCTAGGAAAACCAACGATAAACGCCTCCCCTCCCAGAGATGGGGCCGGGGTAGCGAAGCCCTCTCAAAACTTCTATTCCTGCGCTCTCATCTTATTGCCCTTTTCCCCTTGGCTGCCAGGCAGCCCCGAACTTTGTTCTCGATCTCAGCGGCAGCTTTCGCCGTCGTTTTCCGATACGGCTTTCTCCTCTCACTCTCCCCAAACATGCGCGCTTCACGGCTTGACCCGTTTTTCCGTTTGACGCTCGACTTAACGGTCCTCGGTTGTCTCAGATCGGTAGCAAGATGCATATATGTATACATAAAACACGCAAAGCGAAGCAGAACACGCATGGCGTGAGCCTCGGCCTCCTCACCGCCGCCCCGACCCCAAGGGCAATTCCCACACTGACCTCTGAGGACGAAGCCAAAGCTGTTGCCCTCCTTGTAGAGCGAGACGTCCACGGTCTTTGAGATGATGCTCGGGTTGTTCTCGGGGGCTGGGGAGAAAGGGGGGGACGGCCTTGAGTGCCCCGGCGGCGTCTCCGCGCGAGCAGATGTCCCCAGAGCGCGTGACAGGAGGCGTGGGTGACCGGTCACGGAGATCCGGGGGGCAGAGCCCGCCCCACGTCACAGGTGGGTAAAGCGAGGCTCAGAGGACCCCGAGGAAGCGGCCCCCTCGCGCTCGCGGCGACTGTCCCGAGCCGGGCGGAGCCCTGGACCCCGCGCTTAGCGCCGGGCGCGGGGCTGGGGGTGCAGCAGCAGGGAACGGTCCCCAAACCTTGCCCCCCCGGGCAGAAGCGTCTGGAAACTAAATTCACAAAATGACGGCAGTTACGAGCAGAGCCGCGCCACCTCCTGGGGACACTCCCGAACGCCGGGAGGACGGGCGGGGGCCACCGCGCACGGCCGGGCCCCCCGTGGCACGCACGGGGAAGCCGAGGCTCAGAGAGGTCGGACGCTTGGCCAGGGTCACACAGCGCGTGGGCAGGAGAGTGTGGATCCGAACGGCGCAGGCGAAGCCCCCGGACGGGGCGCGGATGTCTGTGGCCGGCGTCCGAGCTCCACCCGCCCCGTCTGGCGCGGTCCCCACCACCCGGGCCCCGGCAGGGAGGCAGCGGAGACAGTGGCCCGTCCGGGGCACCCACCGGGCGGGGGCAGCTCATACTCCACCTCCAGCAGCACCCGCCCGCCGGCGTTCTTGAGCAGCGCGACGATCTCGTCGTGGCGGAGCCGGGTCAGGCGGATCCCGTTCACGGAGCGGATATAGTCGCCCACGGTCAGCAGGTCGCTCCTGCGGCAGGGACAGGCCGCGCACGCGTGTGATTCGATTTCACATATTGACTTTGTTTTGTTAGAGAGAGGGTCTTGCTGCGTTGCCCAGGCTGGAGTGCAGTGGTGTGACCGCCCAGCTCACTGCGGCCTCAGACTCCTGGGCTGGAGCCATCCTCCTGCCTCGGCCTCCCAAAGTGCCGGGATCACGGGCGTGAGTCACCGAGCCTGGCTGCGACCCTCATCTTACGAATGGGGCAATGAGGCTCAGAGAGGTCAGGCACTTGGCCAGGGTCACACAGCAAGTGAGCGGGTGAGCATGGATTCTACACTAGACCTGTTGACACCCAGGCTTGCCAGCTTGCTCTCCCTTGCGTGGAGGTGTCACCCACAACGTGACAGCTCGGACTGGCCTCAGACGGGCCCGCAAAGTGGCCAGGCCACCACGTCCTTTGCTGTTCCCTAACGCTCTTCCTGCCCTCTGTGCAACGGGACCCTTGTCAGCGGCTGAGGCCCAGGGCCGGGTGTGGAGAGGCCAGCGCCCGGGCCTCCACGTCTAAGGGAGCCACGGAGGCCAGTGACGGGGAAAACCCAGGCCTGCGTGCAGAAGTCCTGGGCTCAGGGAGGGCTTCCCGGAGGCAGTGTCCTCCGCATGGGGCGTGGAGGCGTGCAGAGGAGTCTGCCAGGACGACGCTACAGGGAACGGGCCTCTGGGCGGAGGGAACCGCGTGTGCGAAGGCCGGGAGGGCACAACTGCCTACGCGCCCCCTCCCCGTCGCCCGCCGAGCCCCCCTCACCTGGCCGCGAGCCCGCCGGGTCTCAGGTGGGACACCCTGGGCCTCCCGTCCCTGTCGGCGCCGCCGGAGATGGTCAGGCCCAGCGCGCAGCCCTCCTTCTTGAGCAGCTCCACCGCCGTGACCCCACGGAACTCCTCTGCGACAGACGGGCGCGTGTCTGCGGGGGGCGCGGGGCCGCCCTGCACTCCCGGCTCTGAGGCGGGGGAGGCCGGCGCCCGGTCCGCGGGGCGGTGCCGTCCCAGGTCAGGGGGCGAGCGGGTGGCCTCCCCGTGCCTCGGGGGCAGAACACGGGCGGGGGAGCAAAGTTCTTACCTGGGATGCTCTGTCGGCGGCAGGCCAGGGCCACCTCGGCCCCACCCGCGTCCCGGCCGCCTTTGGCGTAGGGCACATCGTCTGAGGGCGTGAGAGAGAAAGGTCATGACCTGGGGCCCCTTCCTGTCCGTCCCGCGAACCCCTTTTCCACGCGGCTAATTTTCCACGCCAGGGACGGGGCCCGGGAGGCTGGTTCCTTCCTCTGCTGCCGGCTCTCCCCAATCCTCCACCGGGGAGTCCTCCTGGGTTGCTCCTCCCGAGAAAGGCCCAGGCCCTGCTCTGGGGGTGCACAACCTCCTCTGAGCCCCCCGCCACGCACGGGAGCCTCACGGCCCCGCGGACGGCGGTGTCGGCTGGAAACATCATTCCACCGTGCAGATTATGGAGCTGAGGCTCAGAGAGGGTGAGCTCGTGCCCACGGTCACACAGCCGTACAGTGTGTATGAGAAACCCGGCTCTGCGGACGGTACCTCCCAGGGCTGTGCTCGCATACCTGCCGGGACGGGGAACTCACTCACATGCAGCCGCCATAACTCACAGGGGACAGCTCTGACCGCGGGCAAACTCAGTCTTGAGTGGATTTGATTGACGCTTCCTCCTGAGGACCGCTCTCTACAGCTTGGGAGCCAGAGCCTTAGACCCTCTAGGCTGCCCGAGTCTGTCCCCCTGCGCTCTAATTCAAGAAAACGCCCCGATTTCTTCTCTCTCCGTTGAAATGCTCCGCAGACGAACCTCAGGGCTCCCCGTTTTACTCTCCGACACCCCTCACCCGCCCTCTGCTGCATTTGCTGCCGCCGCAGCTGCCCGGCAGGCGCCCCGCCTGCATCGAACCCCGTCTTTTGGGTTTTCTCAAGCTGTTAGAGAATCTTTCGCGCCTTTCAGACAACAAGACGTTAGAACCGCGTGACGCAGAGGCTCAAGGACTGTGGTCCCCCGACCAGCAGCGCCTGGGGACCTGCCACGAACATAAACTCTTGGGCTCCCCCCCCCGACGACTTAACAAATCGGACACCGGGGCTGAGTCCAGAACTCTGCGTGTGTGTGTGTGTCTTAGCCGCACCTGTATTGTTCTCCGCTTTGTAAAATTCATACACAGCAGAATTTACTCTTCGCGACGTGCACCTCTCTGAGCTCTGGGCAGCGTCGCCGCCGTCGGAGAGAACGTTTCCACCGCCCCGCAAAACTCCCCCGGACGTCCTCTGTCGCCCGGTCCCTGCCCCGCCCAAGCCCCGATCTGTTTCCAGCGTCATCTGACGTCCCCAGCACGTCCCATCGACCGCGTCCTGCGGCACGGAGGGAGGCTCTTGGTCTAGTTCCTTTCGTGCGGCGTAGCCGTTTGCGCCTTGGGCTTCGGGAGGCTGCTTTTTCCTATCGCCAGGGTATTGCAAAGCCGTTCCCACCGTCTCCAGATCTGGGTGGTTTTGCATCC